ACCATAACGAGTTTAACTTGTAGTAAAATATAGTTTATCACTCTTGTTTAAATTTCACCTGCATTTTTAATTGTGTTTCTGACTATTTTATAACTACTTCAAGAATAGAAGAACGTACCGATGAATTGGTTTGGTTTCGTAAATCTCTCCATGATGTTTCAAAATACTATTGATTAATTGAAATTGTTTGCAAGACAAAAATATATGCACATTTATGCATGGGTTTATGTATGTACGATTTATTACGTTAATGGCTGATGTTGACCAAAGATTATGAACATACTCAAGAAAGGTAATTTGACGACAACTATAATTATACGGGTAGTGATTTTATTCCACAGAGAACAAGTATGATCATACCACTTCTCTCACTTCCACTTCTAATGTTGAGGTGAACGATTCTGTCGAGAAAACCAGAAAATTGAAAAACTATTGCAATTATTGGTGGAAAACTGGCATATGCACCTGAAAACTAATGGAAGGATGCAAAGTAAATCATCGTATTTATTTCGACAAATTATTTTATAATTTTATAAAGTACTTGCCACTGACTTTTCCCGGGAAGAGTATTGCTGAAAAAATGGATAAGTACAATATTCATGGCTGGTGGGAATGAGAAAACGGGCAGTCCCTATAACTAAACTTTCTTCACCACTTCATGAGAGCTGTGTTGATGCTATTGTTTGGCAAATTCTTTTAGCAACCGCAAAAGTGATGAGCACTAACCAAGACTTTCTTTCAGAGCAACGAATGAGTGTTTGGCTTGTTTTTCTTAATTCTAATTATTTTACTTCTTTACTAACTGAACAATTTTTGTTGTAACAACAAAATCACGAAACTCATAAAAATCAAATGTTTTATTTCGACCAGTGGTAAATCTTATGGAAAAGTATGAATATGATGTAAACGATCTAGTCGCATCAAATATTTTATATTAAATTTGAAATTGCAAAACTTTTTATTTAGATATTTTGTTACAATATATATATATTTATTTATTTAATAAGATCTATTAAACTATGTATTCAGTTTCAAGCATTTTTATTAGTAAAAATCCAAATTTTAAAAAAGAAACTAAAAATTTTAACACTAATAAAAAAACATTTTTTAGCTGATTAGATTTAGTTTTATAAGTAATAATTGGCAAAATTTTCGATTAGACTGTTTGCACCATAGTTAACTTGTTAATTTTCTTTAAAAATTTCTTGAATTGACAGTATTTTTAGAATCAGCTTTGCCAAATCTGGTAGTGAAGGTTGCATATAAAGTAGATGTCAGACACAAAACAGAAAATTTTGATTTGCAACTGGTCGAGCTTATTGTCTGTGTTGTTTATATTCTTTTTCAGTGGGTTTAAAATTTTATTCAATGCTTTTAGATCCTTCTTCAATGCGTTTAGATTCTATGAAAACCTTCTGCACAACCCATTCTCCCGATCGCTTATATTCGTCACATTCGTTGCATGCGACGAATACGATCGGGATACCCAAATTTAACAATTGATTTTCATATCTGAAAGACCAGGATACAAATTTAATTTTGTGGCCGGGGCTGGTTATGTTTCTTGGTTTCACAATATAAAAAAAAATAAAATCGTTTTTTAAATTTAATTCTTCAATTTGAAGCTTTAAATTTTGATTTTTTTGTTCAAGCTAGTAATCTTTGTTTTAGCATAATACTTTGTTAAAATTAATAGATAAGATTATGGATGCTGTATAAGTATAAAAATTACATCTTTAAATAAATACATATTAAACTTATTTTATCTGAATATCTTAAGTAAGGTGACGTAGAAGACATTTATTTGTTTGGCTAATTTTTATATATAGTGTTACTGGCAAATCCATGTGCACCAAGAATCTAAGAATAATGCAGAACTCTGCACATTAAACGCACGAATCCGTTATGCAAGCACCTTGTACTGCAGTGCCCTGGAACCCGCATTTTCACCTAACGATCATATGCAAGAAATCTGCTCAAGCCAAGACCACCATAATAAAGCATTAAAGTGATGATCGTATGGAAGCAAAGCCTCATCAACGATCCTATTGAAGCAAGAGACACTTATCCAATTTGGTATGACAGCTGTCAAGGTAATATTACCTTGTCGGATAAGATGTGTAGCCATGAAAGTAAGAAGCATATGGGTTGCTTGAAGAGTCAATGAATGAATCAATGGACTTGACAGGTAAAGAACGATGACAGCGTAGAAGCCTTCATTCGACTTGCCTTCTAATTGCCTTCTTTCGTTTATACCATCGAATCTCAATGAGAATGGCTGTGAGTAAGGGTTGAGAATGAGACCAGAAAAGGGTCAAATGGCTTGAGTCAATAATGATTCAATGATAATCAATAGGAGAAGATGTTTGATCTTGTTCTACTTCTTGCCTTGTAATTTCGCTATAAATAAGAGGATGAATTCCTCTTGTAAAAGTAGGCAGTACCTTCTGAATTAGTACTTCACTGATTTTAGTATGTATAATTCGCTCTATATAAAAATCATTAATAAAGTCCTTTAATAAACTCAAACCTAAACATTCATTAAAAACTGTATTAAATTACCTGCATAATGATACTTGATAGGTGCCTCAGACTCATGCCAAATCGATATCCGCCTCACTCTCTATTAAGTATTGTTATTTGACGTCTTCCTTGTTAGCAAAAGACCGTCCATCGCTTCTTTTGTTGTGGGTGTATATGTGTATGTGATGATCACTAGCCACTAACATTTTTAGTGATAACTGTGAGATAGAACGTATCCATCTCGAAGTCCTAAAAACTGTGAGATTGAATGCAAAAAGACTGTGAGATCGTAAATCTCCAAACAGCTGGGCTGCGAGATTCGATTATCCCAATTGTGAGGAATAAAGCTATTATGACAATTATCCTGCTCCGATGTTTTTTGTGAAATTATTATTATTATTATTTTTTTTTGTTTGAATTGAATTCTGTGTGTAGACTTTTTTTTTGTTGTTAAGGACCGACATATAGGGTCCGAACCGATATAGTGTTAAAGATTTTTGGACCAACGAACTGAGTCTATTCGAAGTCTTGTTTTTTTTCTCGTTATACGTCATCATATTGCGCTCTCTTTTCATGATCCTCGAAATTGTTACCAAGTAGTCAGCTGGCTGAAGAAGCATAAACAAATAAATAAATAAATAAAAAATTAAAAATTAAAAATTAAAAATAAAAAAAAAATGTATAGAACATCCCAAAAAATTCTCCAAAAAAGGTCCTGGTATATGTATTGCAAAGTAGGAAGACATACCATATCTGTTTGTCCCGCCGTGAGGAGGTTAGATGAAAAGTGTACCATGATCCTTAGGACACTTTCATCGGAACACCTCGAGTTGGTTCAAGAAATGATAAACAAAAGCTTTAACCTTCTTCTTGATGCTAAGCGAATCCCTGAGGCCCTGGAGCTTACAATAGAATTTATAGATAAAATATTAAAGAATAACAATATAAAAAAAGAAATTGTATATCTGTTCTTAGCCCCAACTACAAGAAGAATAAGCCTACTCTCAGCACTTTCTATGTTTGTTACCTCGAGAGTCCCTCCCATGAAGCCCTGCTGGAAAAGACCTGCTGTGGCAGGAAATACAGAACTTGGTTTTGGAGATAGAAATGTTGATCTAGAGCCCCTCCTCCAAAAGTTTGCTGCTAAGTGCACCACCATCATACAGAAATAGGTCCCAACAAGAATAAAAGAGATCGTCTATGAACCTCTGAAGGAAAATAGCATTGAAAAAGATAAAGAATCGCGTTGGCAACCCACCGAAGGTAAAAAGCTAGGTGGAATTGAAGTTGAAAAGGACAAAGATAATGGAGTTAGAGTTGAAAAGAGCCAACCCAAACATCTGCCTATTACCAAAAATCCGCAGAAATGGGTCATGATAGTGGAAAGGATATAGGCCACGAACAGAACATCATCAACGATCATCTTTGCGATGAATTGGAGCTGTACGGAAATCCTTGGCACGACCTCGAAAGTCCTGTAGTGCATCTTCCTGATGCTAAAGAGTGTTTTATCAACAAAGTTGATCTTGGATGTTGTTACCAAAACGGAATTGGTATCGAAAAGAATGAACACGATGCATTTGTTTATTACCAACAGTCTGAAGATATGAGTGATACCAATAGAACACATCTGATTAAATACGGCTATGAGAAAAAAATTGAAAAGATTGAAGTAAATGCTGTTAGTAAATCAGAATCAAATAAATTGGATCAGAAAAAGGAAAACTGAAACTTACCCATAAAGCTGGAAGACATTGACGATAATGAAATAGATGACGAAAATGATCGTGAAATGTTGGTTGGTGATAACGATAGTCATGAGAAATTGAATAGTTCCCTACCCAAAAAACTTTTAGAAAAAGAAGCCCTGCAACATGCATGTGAAGAATGGATGGAGAAAGTTAATGAATTAAGGATGAACACATGTGCAGTAGAAAGACCCACTACGATGGAGCCTGCCGAAGAAACATTTCAAGGAATTGGTGCCGAAACAGATGAACCATATAAATGGTATAAGATAGAGGCCAAAGGTGATAAATCTGCTAGACAATTAGACCCTGGTAGATCTTGTTGCTAGAATAAGAGTTGTCTTGAAAATGAGGACCTTTTCTCTGAACAAACTTGTAATTTCAATGCTGCCCAGTCAAGTTATACGAAGATCTGCTGAAACAGGTATAAAATGAAAGAAACCGCCGTTAGATGAATATGTCGTAGAAATCAAGATTCAGAAAAGCTCGCCTAATAAAAATAAAATAGGTATAGGGTTAGTAAAAACAACCAAAAATCGGCTCATAACAGTAAACCTAGCTGCAAAAGATCCTTCGTACCTGCCGCTATGGATTATCATACAGATGTTCGATCCTGGAGGAACCTGAGAAACAAAATCCAGCCCAATTAGTAAGATGAAGTATGAAAAAAAAAAATAATAATTTTTATTTTTAGATTTTTTGTGATTGTGCACAACAGTTGTACGTGAGGTTAAGGGGTGTATGACAAGAGTTTGACCCTTTGTTTTGGACGTAGATGTGTTTTTGTGACTTTTTTTTGTTTGTTTGAGTTTTTGTGTATTTAGTTTTTAGTTTTTAGTTTTTGTTTTTTTTTTAGTATTTAGTTTTTCTATTTAGTGTTAGTATATAGACTTCAGTTAAAAAAAAAAAAAAATCATCATTCATAATACTGCGCTGATGAAGACATGTGATTAGGTAACCTCAAAGACCGACGCATTGGATTTTTTACAGGATATGAAAAATTAAGGTAGAAGAATTGTTACTGGCAAATCCACGTACACCAGGAATCTAAGAATAATGCAGAACTCTGTACGTTGGACGCATGAATCCATTATGCAAGCGCTATTGTACTGTAGTGCCCCGGGACCTGCATTTTCACCTAATGATCATATGCAAGAAACCTGCTCAAGCCAAGACCACCATAATGAAGCATTAAAGCAATGATCATATAGAAGCAAAGCCCCATCAATGATCCCATTGAAGCAAGAGACACTTACCCGATTCTGTATGACAGTTGTCAAGGTAATATTACCTTGTAGGATAAGGTGTGTGGCCGTGAAAATAAGAAGCATATAGGTTGCTTGAAGAGTCAATGAATGAATCAATGGACTTGACAGGTAAAGAACGATGACAGCGTAGAAGCCTTCATTCGACTTGTCTTCTAATTGCTTCTTTCGTCTATACTATCGAATCTCAATGAGAATGGTTGTAAGTAAGGGTTGGGAATGAGACCAGAAAAGGGTCAAATAGCTTGAGTCAATAACGACTCAATGATAATCAATGGAAGAAGATGTTCGATCTTGTTCTACTTCTTGCTCTGTAATTTCGCTATAAATAAGAAGATGAATTCCTCTTATAAAAGTAGGCAGTACCTTCTGAATTAGTATTTTACCGATCCTAGTATATACAATTCGCTCTATATAAAATCGTTAATAAAGTTCTTTAATAAACTCAAACCTAAACATTCATTAAAAACTGTATTAAATTACTTGTATAATAATACTTGATAGGTGCCTCAAATCTGTGTCAAATCGATATCCACCTCACTCTCTATTAAGTATTGTTATTTGATGTCTTCTCTGTTAGCAAGAGACCATCCGTCGCTTTTTTTGTTGTGGGTGTGTATGTGTGTGATGACCACTAGCCGCTAACAATAGATCTGTTGTAATAATTAACCAATAGAATTATGGATACAGTTAGTGATTGGACCCGGGTGGTATTGTGACAACCTGGGTAGAAACAGGTGGGTCACCCAATGGGTCACCCGGCAGTCACTCTTGGGTTCCAGGAGGGCTTTACTTATTTGTGCCAGTAATACAAACTCCTAAAAAAGAAATAACCAATCAGTGAGTTCAAATTTTGATCATTCCGGATCAGCCTGACATAAATTCTGAACATGTGCGAAAGAAGACAAAACCAAAAATACTCAAAAACTAGTGTTTAAATTAATCTAAATTCATTAATTAAAAATGTTAGGAACGAAATTTTATATATAAGGCCATACAAACTTAATAAATCGGTTCTCATAACATAAAATTTTTGAAAGTGACCCGGCAACCCGGCTTTTA